CCCAGCTCATCTTGTCATCGCGTGGCTTTGCATGTGCGGGCACAGTACATACATCTTGCACGTGTAGAGTAGCCATTTTGCCCTCCCGCAGAGGTATTGCAGACACTTCCTTCCTAGCAAACAGGGACTCGCCTCACTCGAGGCCTTGAGGAAGTTTAGGTCGTGATGGAACTCATGAACTTCCTGACCGGACCACGATTCTTTAATTAAGTCTTTTTTTTTTTTTTTAAATTTTTTTTTTTTTCTTTCAACGTTTATTTATTTTTGGGACAGAGAGAGACAGAGCATGAACGGGGGAGGGGCAGAGAGAGAGGGAGACACAGAATCGGAAACAGGCTCCAGGCTCTGAGCCATCAGCCCAGAGCCTGACGCGGGGCTCGAACTCACGGACCGCAAGATCGTGACCTGGCTGAAGTCGGACGCTTAACCGACTGCGCCACCCAGGCGCCCTGGACCACGATTCTTAAAAGCAGTTCCTTCTCTACGATTCCTTGTCTACGATGTTTGTCTTGCAAGCAGGCCGCCTCACCTCCTCTTGGTCCCCTGTCACAGGTGAAAAGCCGTACAAGTGCACCTGGGAGGGCTGTGACTGGAGGTTCGCGCGCTCGGACGAGCTGACCCGCCACTACCGGAAGCACACCGGGGCCAAGCCGTTCCAGTGCGGGGTGTGCAACCGCAGCTTCTCGCGCTCCGACCACCTGGCCCTGCACATGAAGAGGCACCAGAACTGAGCCCCGCCGCGGCCCGCCGTGCCTATGCAATTCACACTGACGCTGTGCAGTTCATTTGGCAAAGTTTTAAACGACAAACCTAACTACGTATATAAAAAGAAAAAGAAAACAAAAAACTGGAAATGTATATTTTGTATATTTGACGAAACAGGGAATACATTGTATGAATACCAAAGTGTTTGGTCCTTTTAAGAATCTGGAATGCTTGCTGTAATGTATATGGCTTTACTCAAGCAGATCTCATCTCATGACAGGCAGCCACATCTCAGCGTGGGCAGGGGGGTGGGGGTTGCAGGGTGTGTTTGCAGTGTTTTTACCTAAGCACCATCATTTAATGTGACAGTGTTTAGTAAACAAGTCGGTTGGCAGGCACAGGAAGAAGGCTGGGTTGTATGTCAAGATTTTACTTGACATCGAGTAGGGTTTTTTTTCAATATTAGGTAATTCCTGAGAGGTGCGCACCCCAGCGTACCTGGCGATTCACAAATAGCCATTGAACAAATGTGGGTTTTTTTGTTTTTATATGAGTTGCCTCTATTTGCTATCCGAAATTTTGTAAATATGCAAATCAGCTTTGTAGGTTTATTACAAGTTTTCTAAGATTCTTTTGGGGGAAAATCATAAATAAATCTGCTTGAAAATAAACCATGAATACATTTACAGTTAGAATTTGTGGTAAGTTACCTCTTGAAACCTTACCAAATTCATTTCTTTCGGAGGAAGAAATAATCATTCAAATAAACTTAAAGCAGATTCCATGCACTGATTAAAATAGGGTTGTTTATTTTAAATATGAAAAACATTTTATATGAATTGTGAACTCAAGAGCGCAGAGATACGATACACAAAAGTCAAACCTCTTAGAATAAGCTAAACACAGTATCGTTTTAGAAAAAGAAGGACTTATGTAGCTCTCACATGGCGTTGTTGGATTTACGATACAGTTTTCATATCCTGAGATGTTTGCTCGTGCAGTACTGTGGTTAAATGCCAATTTATGTGGATTTTGCATGTAATATACAGTGAGACACAGTAATTTTACCTAAATTACAGTGCAGTTTAGTTATTAATCATTGTTAATACTGACTCAGTGTCTGCCTTTAATTATAAGTGACATGTAGAAAACTTAAGGAAACAAGTGCTACATATATGCAATGTAATAGAAATGTGATGCTGATGCTGTTAACCAAAGGGCAGAATAAATAAGCAAAATGCCAAAAGGGGTCTTAATTGAAATGAGAATTTAATTTTGTTTTTAAAATATTGTTTATCTTTATTTATTTTGTGGTAATATAGTAAGTTTTTTTAGAAAATTTTCATAACTTGATAAATTATAGTTTTGTTTGTTAGAAGAGTTGCTCTTAAAACGTGTAAATAGATGACAAACGGTGTAAATATTTTGTAAGGCTTCAAAATGTTTATACGTGGAAACATGCCTACATAAAAAGCATAAATTGGTTGCTGTTTTGCTTCTTTTCCCCTCTTATTTTTGTATTGTGGTCATTTCCTATGCAAATAACGGAGCAAACAGCTGTATAGTTGTAGAATTTTTTGAGAGAATGAGATGTTTATATATTAACGACAATTTTTTTTTGGAAAATAAAAAGTGCCTAAAAGATTCATGTCGTGCCTTCCTTCTTCACCCATAATAGCAAAAAAAGCAGATTCCATTCCCAAAACTATTGAAAAGGCTCTGTCTTATCAGGGCAATAAAATACCAATAAAAACCCGATTCCCACATTGAGCCAAAGCTACCTTTGTTTAAGACAAAAGAAACGGATTTGTTTTAAAAGTATGATTACAAGTGTGAAGGGAGATAAGGGTCGTGAATGCTGATTTTTTTTGGTCACTACACAGACACATACTGCATCAATCTCAAGATCAGTAGCTGAAAACTGTAGAGGTAACTTGCATTTGCTGGTTTTATTGTTGGGAAAATAAAACAAGAATGGGGCTTTTAACCTTTTTTTTCCTTTTTAGAAGAGAAAATGATCACTGGAAGTTTATTTAATCCAGTAGCAACAAGCACACCAAGGGCTTGCTTTTAATACCATCCTTGAATAAAAAGAAATGGGGCTTCTTAGAAATGGCTGGTTCTAGGACTAGGTTAGGAAATGGACCAAATGTGCCTGGAGCATCTTCCAGCACCAGAAAGTAAGGAAGTCATTGAAATCTCACAATATAAAGAAGGGATGAGTTGTAACCCAAAGGATAAAATAGCCACCAGCTCATACTGAAGTAAATGACTGATTAAATAGGAAACAAAAGATCTGCAGAATCCCAATCAATTTTTATAGGTACTTTACCCTCAGAGGTAGCGCATAACTCCCCACTCCTTAAGTGTGTGTTGCACAGTAGGCAATGTGGCCTAGAGGGGAGACTGCAGCGGCAGAAACCCGCCCAACCCCCTCAGGCTGGTGGTCAAGGTCCACCTTGACAGTGATGAGTCATGTTGATAGCACATACCCTTGATTTGATGTGATGAGAATGGAACTTTGCCTCTGCTGTCTTCCTCCTAAAAACATGGTAACCTCGGTCCAATCGACGAAGCCCAACTTTGCATTCTACTTAAATGCGTTCTACTTAAAATACCAATACTCAGTACTGTCAGGGTCTTGAAAAACAAAATATGAGAAATTATCACAGCCAAAAGAAGCCTGAGGAGACATGACTTAAGTGTAATGTAAACTAACTGGGATTCTGGAACAGAAAAAAAGACATTAGGGAAAAACTGAGGAAGTCTGAATGAAGTATAGAATTTAATGTATCAGCAATATTGGTTCATTATGATAAAATGTATCCTGCTAATGGAAGCTGTTAACAGGAGAACCTGGTGGTGGGGTATACGGGAATTCTGTATTATCTTTGCAGTAATTCTACCAAACTTCTTGAATAAAAAGTTTATTTTTAGAAAAGTGAAGGAACGAATGCATGTGACTATTACGTATGTTCAGTAAATGGGAAAATCCCTGATGTTGTCGGAGCTAAAGTGAAAATTGCAGTTATATAACTTGGCATCGTAAGTTTATTCAGCCTCTCATCACTTGACTTCTCATTCTTCCCTGTCATTCAAGTATTATCTAGCTGAAGAACACTGCACAATTCATTCTCTAGCCAGAACTTTTCATTCTTACGTGAGGGGGAAAACATAATTTGTTTGGTTTAAAGTTTATTTCTAGAAATTGAGATAGAAAGTGAGGCTGCGGGCGTCTTGAAGCAGAGACAACTCCATATGTCCAGAAACAAATCGGAGACGTCTCCGTATTCACTTGTTATTGAGAATTGTATGAATGCAGAAGTTATCTTGTAAGGAGAAACCAGTCTTGCTTTGGTTCCCAGCACTTCATTGTATTTAACTTCCTAACACAGAGCGCGGCTGTTTGCAGTTCGCTTTCCCTCTCTGAACCTTTTCTCCCTTTCGTAGGCTGCCCTTTCTCAGGCCACCTAGCTGTTCCAGGTCCTTGTCTGCCAAAGCTGAGCTCGGACCCTTCAGTCTTTATTAGCCACACTCCCTGGAACTTTATTATTTGGAAACATTGCAATGTTTTAGCATTTGAATTTTTTTCCAACCTCTGTCGTATGTTTTTTCTTCCTCAGATTGTCAAATCCTTGGAAGAAACACCACTTCCTAGATTGTCTTACTGCTTTTATTGATTGATAAATCGGACATCCAAAAATAACTTTATAGTGCTGTGTGAATTGTCTTAAGCCCTGAGCATTTGAATCAATCTAGTGTTGGCCAAATTTCCTCTTCGTGTTGCACTGTTGGTATAGCATTGGTGCTGGATTTTTGATAAGGAGTGGGGCTGTGAAATTGTGATTATAGCATGAGCAAACAGGCAATGCCCTGTGAATTTTTTAATATTATGAGTGAATTTTCAGGGGAGAATTAGATAACGATGCTTAACACACTTTTCAAAGCTGCAAATAATTTAATTGCTGATCATTAACACGTCCATTACGTGAATGTCTGGTTTCAGACACATTCTGGCCAGTCTCTTGGTAAACAAGCTACCCCAACTAGACCAAGATTGAGTAATGCACCCAGTTCCAATTGGCCAGAATGCAATTATGTAATTTGATTTCAAGTCAGTAATGCTCTGAGTTTTAACTGCAGTTGGTTTTTATTCTCTCCACCCCTAACCCCAAGTTATCTTGTTTGGTTTTGCTTCCTTCTGTCTTCATTCCTATGTTGCGGCTTGTGTAAAGTGCATCTCTTCGTGGCATCCAATTAGAGAATCCTTAGATAAGCATGACCTGGCCTGCCTACATAAAAATGTTCTTCAAAATCTAGCTAGATTCCTTTTCCTATCTTCAACTAAGCCCACCAGAGCTCTTTGGATTAACTCATGGGACATAACATAACAAAGAAGGGCTTTATTCTCCATTACTAAATCTGGTCTCCACTTTGAAGTTGACCAAATTCCTTCTTTGGTTATATTCTTCACTGTAGTGTTAAACTAATCAATAGGAGACTTTTAAAATTTTATGTATTTCTTTACTCATACCAGAGTTACAGGTGACAAAACCTGGCAATTGTGCAATACTCATTTTAACAGTGACTATTAAGGGGGAGGAAACATAAGAAATCACACGAGAGCTCTGTGTGATCAGAAGGGTTTGTTCTATGAAAACTTAGAATTTTCCTTTTTCTAATACACCAGTAATCTTTATTTTGTCTATTTCTCTCAGTTCATATCACATCATGAAAGAAAGCATTTGGGGTCATGGAAATGGTAATATTCTTGAATCAAAAGTAAAAGCTTAATGCTATTTGGCCACTGAGGATATTTGAATGATGATCTATCTATCTATCTATCTATCTATCTATAATTTAATAGGAAACCAAGACGCACATATGGACTTCTAGGTAAAAATGGTGGATTACACATGCATCTCATTTTGTAGCCTCCTAAAACCCACTAAAACGAAGGCCTTTTTCCTCCAAGGAGAAACTTATGAGAAAAAAACAAACAGGGAAATAAAGACACCAGCAATCCTATGGGAGCTGGAAAGAGCCAGGTAGAAGAGGCAACAAGCTGAGCCGAACTGAAAGAGCTAAATCTTAAAGTGGTGGAGAAAACCAGGAACTAACCCATTTCCAACCCCCACAAAAGTCCCCAAAGATCTCAGGAATTCATCACATTGAGTACTTCTGGAAGTGAAACGAAAATACAATTGTTAACAATTTGTCTAAGAAGCTGTTAATTCCTTGGTGTCTCTCTCTACACCTCCACTCCAGCATACGCTGTGAATTGTAGTAACCAACTAGTCTCCACCCCAGCAGAAGTATGGAGGTTTCTGTGCTTCTTCACTGGAGAGAGTAAAGACAGAGGGTCTCCCCATTAGTAGACAACAGGCCCAGCTGAGGATAGGAATGTCAAACAGAAAAAGGGAGAATTGAATGAATGTGCATATCGGTTGCTGGAACCTGTTCCTCTTGTCTTCCCCATTTAGTTCCCAGGATGCTGGAGACACATCTTTATCCTCCAGGCAGGAGGCTGGAAAAGCCTTCAGAATGGACCAGCCCAGTAGGAAAGATCTGAATATACTGAAAATTCCAAGTTCTCTGATAAAATGGCTTTGTCAGATTACTCACAGAAACCCACAGAAACTTCACACCCATGCTCAGAGCTTCCAATCTTTGGTCCCTCTCTATAAAATATTAGCAGACAATCAAGAACTACCAGATATCCAAGGAAACCATCTAATAGGAAAGATAGAGATAAAGCAGAGAAGAGCAATTTGGACAAGACTATGTAAGGTGGGTGACATCTTAAAAAGAAGAGGTAGTGTTAATAGCCTTAGGGATAGAAGATACTAGAAGTATGAAACAGGATATTCTAAATAACATGCAGAGAACACAAAATTAAAATGGATCATCTGGGAGCAGAAAGGAGGTAATCATAATTGAACAAAGAGATGTAAAAGAAGACCAGTAAATTAGAGTCCCAATCTAAGAGACTCATTATCTAATCAGAAGTTCCAGAAAGAATAGAAGAAACAGAGACAGGATTAGAAACTGAGAAAATAATTCAAGAAAATTCCTTAACAACCAAAGGATATGAATTTCAAGAGTGAAAGGCTTTTGAGATGCCCTAACACACCAGTGTAAATAGATCCACATCAGTATGAAATTTCAAAACTTGGGGCCAAAAAGAAGTTCCTAAAACTCCCAAAGAAAGGGAAAAAGTCATATACAAAGGAAACTGAATTGCTTCAGACTTTGTATCAATGACATTGGAATCTGTAAGACAGTGAAGAAATGCCTTTAGAATTTTGAAGAGAATTTTTTGTTTTAAGATTTAATTTTTTTTTTTTTTTTAAGTAATCTCTATACCCGACATGGTGCTGGAACTTATAGCCCTGAGATCAAGAGCCACATGTTCCATCAACTGAGTCAGCCAGGAACCCTGAGAAATTATTTTTAATCTAGGATTTTATACCCAGCCACACTATCGAGTGTGAGGAAAGAATAAAACGTGTTTTGGGGTTTGTTTGTTTTTTTTTTTTGACATGTGAGGTCTCAAGAATTTTACTTTTTTACTGCTTAAAAAGTCTTCACTTCACCAAAATGAGGGAATAAACCAAGAGAGACCATGGGGTAATGGAAATGGGAT